TGTGTATGCATGCATGCATTATGTGATTGTGTTAGTGAATATGTGTATATGTAGATATTAAGAATGTGCATGATTACTTTTTATATCTAATTGTATTTTAATATTTGTAATATCTTAAGGTGTCATTTCGGCCCTCTGAGGCCTGGTGTTTGTATTTTAAGTATGTGCTAAATGTTGTATTGCTTTGTAACACATGACACTGTAATAAACCATATTATTATTATTATTATTGTTATTATCAAACGACGAGTTTCAAGAGAATTGAGGATTCCTTCCCTTAATGGTTAGGTGAGGTGAAATGGGGTTTAACGTCGCGTCCAAGATTATTGCACTTATATAGCGACGTGCATGTACGTACGTGTGTGTGTTTGTGTGGCTGCTTGTACTAGTCCGGACTGATGCCGATTTATAGTGCAAGCTCACTGAGATACCATGCCGCAGTTTAACATGAATACCCCACTCAGACACAGTATACTGACTCCGAACCGACCAATCCTTGTTTTAGCCTCTTAATGCCGAGCGCCAGACAGGGTAACAACGAGTACCATCTTTTAACGTCTTTTGGTATGACGCGGTCGGGGATCGAACCCCGGACCTTCCGCTCTCCGGGCGGACGCTCTACCACTAGACCACGGAGGCGGTCCCTTCCCTCAATGAAATGGGCATTTGCAAATGTGACGCATCAGTGTCACAAATAAAGCCCGATGCAGTTCCCAATTTTGACTTGTTCCCGTGTTTATTTTCAGTTGAACAATTGACTTGCCTTTGCATGTGTTTATGGTGCATCTAACTATGTCGTGCCGATATCGGCAGGATACGCTCACCTTTTCGCGAACACTATTTAAGAGAGACTCCTAAACACATACTCATGATATAGTCGGCATCGTACCATCCACTCTTAGATTCCTTGTGAAAGTGGAAGGTGTTTTGTCGCTTCCATTTTAAATTTAGACAACTGTACAAAACTAGTTTGTTCAAAGTGAATACACGCAAAGATTTTATATGTGACCATTACTTTGCAAAGTGATCAACTGGCCCATTCAGGCGTCTTCGCCATTTTTCGTGGATTTGAAATGTGAAAAAGACGTCGTGCAATCTATTCTGTCGTAACTGCTTTCGGGTGTCAAGTGTGGCCCTACTACAGTTGCTGAAAGTATTGCCGTTCCTTGTCATCATGGTCAGTTAAGCCATGACTTTGCAACTCGCCTTGTCAGCATCGGCCCAGCTCAGTCAAGGAGTGATTGGTCTAACGACGCTTACTCCAAGTTGTCTCAATCAGCATTCATACTCGCATAATAAAGAAACGCAACATCAGCTTTATAATCATATAGTTTCAATTACTTTTAGCCCATCTATCAATACACGACAGGATCAGACCGGCCAGGCTCATCACTAACTGGGGAGAACTTAGATCGATCGGGATTCGACTCGATCGTTTGCAAACCGCGCTCTCCTCTCCTATAGCTAATGTTGAAGGTATCATTTTATAGTCTTTGTCACATATCACAATACCTCATTTTCATTCGTTAAAAGTTAAATCTTACCATGAACTCATGTGTGTCGTAACCGGAAAAAATACCGAAGCCTACGTGCCAGATTGATCATCTCTCTATTGATTCTTTTACTACCTCCGGATGCTACAAATGAAAAGTATCTTACTTCTCTGCTTGTTTCATTAACTAATCGACGATAACATGGAACCAATCCAATGACAAATATGAAATGTCCAGAATACTCTTGTGATAAATGTGAAATGTCTTTTATCTATTAATTCCTTTCGATCTAAAAGTTCTCTGTCACAAACTTTGTACATATAATGCAACTCATCATTGCAGCAATAACGGTTCAATTTGTTACCATTTTCTAATGTTTTTTAGACGCATTTTAACCCTATAACAATTCCAACATATGCACATCCCCATTATTGTTGCAGACAAACTTGCAACGACCATCTGAGTTCTGTGAGTGATTGTTTACGGTACCGCCCAGCTTCAGTAACAACATGGTAAAGTATAAAACTCGTGAATTGTCATGATATCTGTTGTGACTTCAACACACAAGCAGTTAAATGGTTGAACAGAAATGCGTCCTGGGTATTGATTCGTGTTCATAGCCTGGTTGTAACTTTTGGACAAAGTTTCGGTTTAAGCACTTTTGACATTGGAGATAGTTCCAGCACATATCTTTAGCCATCATCATACTTTATGTTGTGTTATTTGGCAGTGTATTTTATTGTTGAACAATCATTGTAAATGTGTTCATTATAAGTTGTAGCAGGATCACGAGGGGTACATGGCGTTCTATGCGTCCCGCGTTAGGTTTGATACCACGAGCCGGGGGGACGCATAAAACCCCATGTACCCTGAGTGATCCTGCTACAACGAATTCATCTTACCGACATGTTTTAATATGTCTTTCTAAAATAATTCAAATAAATTCCAAATTGATGGAAAACAGCTGCTCGAATGATTCGGGACACTAGCCTAATGGCTCTGTTTTGGCGCTATACTGCTTGGAAACGGGCGGTGATAGTCAACCCTTTTAAATGTTTAGAGCTCATAACCAGTTCGTATAAATGGTACCTTATTATATATACACGTTATTACTCCTACATGATAAAAAATTGGACATAGACTGTATAGTGTGTACTAGAGATTCTGTATAAAAAAGAAACCTGTTTAAACAGAAACGTTTACGGAGCTAAATAACACCGTGCATACACGTTACAAGGTAGTATAGAAAAGGGTTTCGCTGCAGTGTTTCAAAGTAGGAAATGACTTAATGCTCTGAAATATCATAAATAACTTTAGAGTTCCTTATGTTAGCTTATTTCTATGACAATTACGTAAAACATTAGCTGTACAGATTATATTTTCAAGAATTTATTTTACCGACAAGGGGACAAACATATGACCTTATGTATTTTTTCTCTCTCAAACATTAATGATTTTTTTCGGTCAACTATAAAATTACATTAGTGAGATATTAAAGTCAGTTTTAGTTTACAGAGAGCAGAGCTTGTAGCCTACGCGACTGTACAGTTTAATTGAAAATGCAACCCTGGAAATAGAGTACAAAACTGATTTCAAGAGAAGGAGAAACACAACAGATATATGTATTTCTATGACACACAACTATGAGAGGTTAAGAAGTGTTTCACTGCTTGGACAAAGCTGCTATCTGTCCCCGTGGGAACCCAGGGTAGAATGTGTCCCCGGCACCCCAGTGCTGGTCGTAAAAGGCTACCAAATTGGGCAACCCTTTTGCCGTGGGTTGCATCCCTGTGTCGGCGGTGGACGGGAGTCTGGTTGCTGAGCGCACTGGTTCCAGGAGTAGCGTTCCTTTGCCCAATAACTTCGACCCTTACTTTACCTAGACAGGTGGTAGGATGACCCAGTCCTGTCAATCGGTTGTCATGCCACGCCTAACTTATTAGCATTGTCTTTATAACGCTCCATGGTCGGGAGCTCGGATGATGAAATACTAGAAACTAAACATAGAAACGAAACCCGTTCCAAAACAACAAAACGTTCACTTGATAATGATGGTGAAATTCTATTGAACACTGGTCGAGCTTCCTAGTGATTGAGTCTCAAGACAAGACAACGCTTAAACTTAAGCCATTTACAGTATCAAAAGGCATACATGGTATTGCAAGTAACATGAGAAACATCAAACGATTACGTTCAGGTTCATTACTGATTGAATGTATGAAAAAGCAAGCAATCGACCAACCTGTTATACAAAAATTTGTTTGTCGGGATACTGGTTTGGGTCTCTCAACACAGAATCCTTGCATATAGTTCAATGGAAATGTAAAGGACTGAGGACTAATTTTAATGAAATACAGCTGTTAGTCCAGTCCTTCAACTGCTAACAAGAAACGTATCTAAAGCAGACAAATAATTTTAACTTCAGTTTCAGTTCAATGCTTATCATTATGTTTCTCCTCCGGGTGATAGGGCCATTGGGGGATTTTCAATCATTGTGAGGCACGATGTTGTCCATCGCCCTGTTACACTGAGAACTAACCTCCAAGCCGTTGCCGTTCGACTTACTCCGCACGTTGCTTTTACTCTGTGCGCACTGTATGTTCTGCCTTCATCAGCTTTCCATTAAACTTTGATGGACTTTAACACAATTTAGCCTATCGGAATGCCTCACTTTTTAAAGTAGGAATCTGAACGTTTCCCCGTTCATTCTTGGATAGTTGCAACAGGCACGGCAATCCCCACTATTCAATTCTTGCAGGAGAGTAATGTAGGAACTCATTTGGTGCCTCCACTGCTGCCAATCTCGGGACCATATATTCCTTTGGTCTCCCAGACGCCGCCTTTCCGACATGACAGAATACACAAAATACACAACGTCACAACATTCTTCCCCGCATCATCAATCTTGGCAAGATAATTCCTGTCAAAACTTTGATGAGTGTAAACAGCCCATACGATTTTACCAAATATTTTGACAGTGTAACGGGGGTTTAACCCATAGCAATAACAATAATAACCCATAGCAACAAAGGTTGTTACGTCATTACCGGTGTGACGTCAACAATGATGTCTGCATTGCGTCAACACCAAACGATTCAGTACTGTATGTGTTAGTATAGGTTTCCTCAGAACTAAAACTAATAATTATAAATATCTAGCTAATTTTGTCTAATCCTGATCTTATCGAAAGACCTGGCAATGTTTATATTTTAATGATCTTTAGCTGGCCACGAGATGAGATAAACTACTGAAAGTAGTTCCGGTATAAAGCGTTATGTCATTGAGTCGGTGAACAACTTGTTAAATATAGATATTTGTTTTCAGATAAATTTAGTATAGTTTTAATTAATCAAATTATAAAATAGTTTTACATTTGTGTGTGGGGATCTGTTGTCAGGTACCACTGATCACGTTTGAACAAAGTCTTGGTAAATGTTTTCGTCAATTAAACGAAACGTTCATCCAATTTCATTTCTTCTTCAGGAGAAAATAGAAGTGAAAAACAGGTTCAAGGAAATGTCTTTATTGTCAATTACTTTATCAGAAATGTCGAAGACAGATGGAATCCGAAAGAGAACAGACAGCAATACAGCATTGTAATAATGCACGTATGAGTGAAGACGTTAGCACGAGAATATCCACGTTAACAGTGGGTATGTATATCGTTTTTACGCCGCTTTTAGCAATATTCCAGCAATATCACGGCGGGGGACACCAGAAATGGGCTTCACACATTGTACCCATGTCGGGAATCGAACCCGGGTCTTCGGCGTGACGAGCGAACGCTTTAACCACTAGGCTACCCGACCGCCCCTAACAGTGGGTAGATAGATATGTCAGAGGAGAGAAGACATTAACTCCCACTTATCGGGTGGCCGACAGATTAGGTTGACCGACAGATTGGGAGACCAATAGGTTAGGGCGACCGACAAAATGGAAGGCAGGGAGACCGTGAGATCCGGAGGTCAATAGATTAGGGGCCAAGACAGATCGGGATGTCAATAGGTTATGGCGACGGACAGATCTGGAGGCCGATAGGTTAGGTCGACCGTCAGATCCGGAGGTCGAAAGATTAGGGGCCAAGACAGATCGGTAGGTCAATAGGTTATGGCGACGGACAGATCGGGAGACCGACAGATTCGGGAGACCGGCAGATCGGGAGGCCGACAGATTCGGGAGACCGGCAGATCGGGAGGCCGACAGATTCGGGAGACCGGCAGATCGGAGACCGACAGATCGGAGGCTGACAGATCGGAGACCGACAGATTCGGGAGACCGGCAGATCGGAGACCGACAGATCGGAGGCTGACAGATCGGAGGCCGACAGATTCGGGAGACCGGCAGGTCGGGAGGCCGACAGATGAGAAAGACCCAAAAGATTATCAGGGAAGGATATGTCCAAGAAATCCGACACTTATTTCTTCGCCATTTTCTTCAACATTAACTGTCCAAATCCAACTGGGGAATGTCACTGAAACAAAGGTATTTAATATTTAAATAAAACCATAATGAAATTGCATGACGCGTTATGTGTAAATATACATCAGTAAAACCACGTTAATCTGACAGCCTGAACATTCAGTGAAATGATAAGGATTCCGTATGAAGTTCTGATGCTGTGGATTTATGTCCAAAAATGTATGTGGGGGGGATGCGTGTGTGGATGCGTGCGTGCGTGTATGTGTGTGTGCGCGCGTGTGCGTGGGCGTGTGCGTTTATAGCATTGACATTCATGTATTCGGACGGTTGGTTTTCCAACAACGCATCCCCGTGTCATTGAATATAAAGTATGTGTGGCGCTTCGCTAAAGACGACTGACCCATCCTCGCACCCGGACAAAAACAGTTAGGGATAATGAATATTTTTGGATATTTGTTTTTGGGGTGAAGACTCAGCACACATTGTCTTAAAAATTATCTCCAACATTATTCATGCTCCGTAACTGCTTTTTCTCGTATATTATAATCTCTTTTACAACATCGTTATACCAAACAGAGTTGTAATATTGACCATCATGTGTCATCAACTTACATATATCTCCCTCCTTCAAGGTAATTTGAAACGTGTTGCAGGTGTCGACACACGCCTCGGGAGAGTTGAACACCACCTTCCGCGTCCCCTGCCCCTGGGCGTACCAGCTGTAGCCACCCTGGGAACTGGGAGGCTGAAACAGAGACACACCCTTCATATTCACGCGTTAGATGACACCATGTGTTTTTGTTTGTTTGTTGTTAAACACCGCACTCTAAATGAGTGCGGCGGTCTATTGCTAATCGAGTCTGGACCAGACAATCCAGTGTTTGACATCATCAGCATCGATCAACGCATTCGGGATACGATGACGTGCATCAATTAAGTCAGCGAGCCTGACCACCCGATCCCTTTAGTCGCCTCTTACGACAAGCATGGGTTGCTGAAGACCTATTATAATGCAGATCTTTACCGGCCTATAGTAATTCATAAACACATAGTCGGAACCGTACATCTGTTTTGGGCAGAGACTTCGTATGGATATGGAAAGGCTCTTGTCGCTTTTATAAACTGTTTTATGGGACCTTTAAATGAAAGATATCAGCCTAGAAATAAACTGTTCCACGCGTAAAGTTCTGACCTCAAGCTCCAAGCTCACATTATTCAGCGACACCAAAGAGAAGTTGTACCCACCAAAGTCCTCTGCTTTCCCCCGACACCGTCTATATAGAGGTATTTCTGAAGGGCGATCTCCGTCTCGGGTGGGATGATGGACGGCCGGGGAAACAGGCGCCTCATCAGCTGACCTAGAAACATCTTCTCCTTGCTGTTCCTGAAAACCCGTCGATATAGTGTTTGAAGCGCCAGTAAAATCTTAACGATCAGTGTCATAGCTTGAATGACGAAGTTGAATGTTTCCATATCATAGTGAGTGAGTGAGTTGGGTTTTACGCCGCTTTTAACAGTTTTCCAGTTATATCACGGCGTGTCAGCTTAATGTGGGAGGAAAGCCCGAAGTGATGCAGGTCTCAGACGTTTACCACTTCGGTGAAACCCACGAGCACGGGTATGGTGCTGACAAACCTAGAAACATAATCGGGGTGAACCGGGATTCGAACCCACAATCACAGAGAACGCAACTCTGCACAGCGAATCGCGGCGCCTTAGACGACTGGGCCGACCGTGCCCCATTTTCCATATCATTAATATCATATAATGTGATTATAAAAACAATCGCTGTTTAAGACGTAATTTCGCTTTATGAAGTAACTTTAGAAAACAGTGATGAATACATTGTTTGAGTGAATCTCCCCATTTATCAGATAGTGACCAATGGTTGGCAGCCATGACCTCAAACACATCCACAGACTGGGATACCCCTGTCTGAACGTTAATGAATACAATGTATGGAGCTTAAAGGGGAAGTGTACACGCAAAAATCACTTTCTTTCTTTTTCTAAACAAAACGCAATTTTAGAATTAGTTAGTATCTGTGTTTGAAAATATACGCTCATTTTTTTTCACAGTGAAAGTAGGAAGCTCACAATAGTGTTAAAATGATATGTCGTTATGAGGCCTTCGTTTTACGAGCGAAATAGGCCTGAGTTATCCCCCTTAGATTATGACGTAATTGGTGCCAATTCAACTAGGTCCCTGTCTATTCTCAACGCAAAAGATATCAAGGACCAGTTTGCCGTAAAACAACATGGTCTACGACACACTCCGGCGCAGTGGTGACTCAGCATAACACAATTCTGGCTGGCATCTGAGACGCTAGAATCACAAAACTGTACCTACACCACGTGAAGCGGCTCTAACAAAGCATGATGACGTCATAATGTTTATCAATTGGCACCAATGACGTCATATTGCAAGGGGCATAAGCCATGGTGTTTTTGTTATGGAAATAGAACACTTGGTAAATGTGAAAAATATAAATCGTTTTAATGCAAAAAATATGTTAATTAAATATGATGTTTTTATATTTTTGTCTATGACACTTCTATGTTAACACTTTTAATGTGGAAAAAGTACAAGAAAAATTGGTTCATTTCCGTGTGAACTTGCCCTTTAAACATAGTTCCTGTTAGCTGACCTCATTTGCATATTTATCGGATCAGGATACCAAGTTATGGGAAGGGTTTATCGCATCGCTAACACTAACCAGTATGATATCACCTGCTGGACATTATCAACGATGTTAAGCCAGACGGTTCCTGGACAGTGATACACAGGGGCAGACAACCCAAGTGAGGCTGTCCATCACCTGATAGACGGACTGACACAGGCTGACATTAAGAGTGTCGGAATCAATTTGGGGAGAGTATAACACACCCTCCTCCAGTGTCAAGCATCCATTGCCAAATTGGCATGTTTTATTTTATTTTATTTTTTTCTAAAAAGGGATCATTATTACGAAGTCTATTGACGTCATCACCGCCAGGTTATAAGGTGGGGTGAGGTGAAATGGGGTTTAACGTCGCGTCCAAGATTATTGCACTTATATAGCGACGTGCATGTGCGTGTGTGTGTTTGTGTGGCTGCTTGTACTAGACTGATGCCGATTTATAGTGCTAGCTCACTGAGATACCATGCCGCAGTTTAACATGAATACCCCTCTCAGACACAGTATACTGACTCAGAGCCGACCAGTCCTTGTTTTAGCCCCTTAATGCCGAGCGCCAGACAGGGTAACAACAAGTACCATCTTTTAACGTCTTTTGGTATGACGCGGTCGGGGATCGAACCCCGGACCTACTGCTCACCGGGCGGACGCTCTACCAGAAGACCACGGAGGCGGTCGCCAGGTTATAAAGATGAATACATTCTTACCATACACAAGAGAAGTTCTTCTCGGCTTCGATCTGCCCCAGCAAATTCTCCCGTGCCAGGTCACTTGCCTGCACAGCCCACCCCGCCGTGCAGTCGATGGGATGCTGTACAAGGTGATCCTTCTCTTTCCTAATAACAGCTTCAACATCCTCCAGATGCACAGGTGTCTGCAGACCCTGCGAACAAGAGATGGACAGGTACCGTACAGGTAGATCCACTTTGAATCCTGCCAAATGCCTCACGTTGGAACATAATAATCAGTGTTATTATTTAATTGAAAAAAGACATACCGTTATACGTAGTCTGTAACCACCCACGAGTTCGTTTACATGCATTTCTGTTAATCATATATACCGCATTGCAGTCACATACAGTAACACAATGGGTAGCCTAGTGGTTATTGGGTTCATTCGTCACGCCGAAGGCCCGGGTTCTGTTCTCCAGAGACGCCTGGTATCCAATAAACGGTAGTATAGAATGTCCGAAAAGATAGACGTTGGGGTTCCATTAGAAGAAATACGGTATACCAAAATGGTATTATGTACCTGATTAATATGTATTATTATACACTGTTGAATACTACGCTGGTTGGTTTGTTGGTTTGTTGTTTAACGCCGCACTCAGCAATATTCCAGCTATATGACGGCGGTCTGTAAATAATCGAGTCTGGGCCAGACAATCCAGTGATTAATATCATGAGCATCGATCCACGCAAATGGGATCGATGACATGCATCAACCAAGTCAGCGAGCCTGACCACCCGATCCCGTTAGTCGCCTTTTACGACAAGCAAAGTCGACTTTTACGGCAAGCATGGGTTGCTAAAGACCTATTCTACCCCGGAATCTTCACGGGTCTGAACACTATGCAAGGACGTCATTTCTCAATGCTCACTCTGTGTATTAGGGGATACGACATCAGGTGGAGCTTCAATGTCTTCATCTTGACCTTCAGTTCCTTGACAGACTTGTGGTTCTTGCACGTGTTACACTCCGGGCCCGGCACAACGTACAACGGGTTGTTCACGAAACATTCGCTGCTGTAGTAGTCTGTAAACAACCGGGATACAATAAGTAAATAAACTAGGACGCTTTTCAAAATAGAGTAAGTTCTACCATAGCTGCTAATGCTTAATATTTTCATTTAAACATATTTTATTGCGGAAAATCCAATGGATTTGGCACAAGTGACCGCTTACGAGGCCTTCTCCTAATACTTAATACAGATCGGTGTGCATATTCTCAACAGTATGAATTTGCCTAAACTATACTCAGACGCTACTACATCTGGGCGAAATAACCAAAGGGTAAACAATCCCTTGACTGGGTGTTTGCACGTACTTCGAAAAATCAAAACAAAAATCAAAACAAAAATTAGTAGAGGATAACTCTTTGAACAGTTGTCATATCACGGCTCCTCGAATTACTAAGGGACGCAACTCTGCACAACATCAAATCCGGGTCCTACTGCATGGAGGGCAGGTCACACTAACGATGAACGGGCAAGCAACAGGTCGCTCTGACACTCGACGCCAACAGATGATAAGGGGTCAAATCAAACAACTGCAACAGCTGTGCTGTACTGGTTGGGTTGAACATGTGTCACGTACGGATTATGATGAACAACTCATGTTTTCACCACAGTAGGGTACAGTAAGACGGACCATTATGTGAATATTGCAAAACAGGGTGTCGGTAAAACAGTTACACCGAAAAGAAGCAATCATCTTACGGGTGTTTAGCCCCATCCTCATCCCACCCGTCAGAATGTCGTATTGTTCCATTATCTTGCTGGTGTAGCACATTGGCTATCAGACATATTCCCCGTGAATATATCTTCAGCATCCCATGCTTGTTGTAAGATACGGCTAGCGGGATCGGGTGGTCAGGCTCCGTGATTTGGTTGATGTACGTCATCGTGTTCAAAAAGTGTGTTCAATTCGATGCTCATCATGTCAATCGCTAAATTGTCTGGTCCAGGCTCTTTTATTTACAGACCGACACCATATAGCTGGAATATTGCTGAGTGCGGCCTTATGCAACAAACACAAGATGTTGATCACTTCACTGATACAGGTACAAGCGCTGTCTCGAAATGGGACATAGAAATAATTCCAAAAGGTATAAAAAATAAGTAAAAGATACTTACAAAAAATGATTCAGGTAGATTTTCTACACACTCTCCCAGAAGAAATATTACATACAATGGATCAGCCTGAGCCAAAGAAAACTGAGGACTGTATGAGTGAGTGAATGTCAGCAATGTTACATCTATACTACGAAGTGTATGAGTGAGTGAGTGGATGTCAGCAATGTTACATCTATATCACGGAGTGTATGAGTGAGTGAGTGAATGTCAGCAATGTTACATCTATACTACGAAGTGTATGAGTGAGTGAGTGAATGTCAGCAATGTTACATCTATACCACGGAGTGTATGAGTGAGTGAATGTCAGCAATGTTACATCTATACCACGGAGTGTGTGAGTGAGTGAGTGAATGTCAGCAATGTTACATCTATATCACGGAGTGTATGAGTGAGTGAATGTCAGCAATGCTACATCTATACCACAGAGTGTATGAGTGAGTGAATGTCAGCAATGTTACATCTATACCACGGAATGTGTGAGTGAGTGAGTGAGTGAGTGAATGTCCACGGAGTGTATGAGTGAGTGAATGTCAGCAATGTTACATCTATACAACGGAGTGTGTGAGTGAGTGAGTGATATCAGCAATGTTACATCTATATCACGGAGTGTATGAGTGAGTGAGTGAATATCAGCAATGTTACATCTATATCACGGAGTGTATGAGTGAGTGAATGTCAGCATTGTTACATCTATACCACGGAATGTATGAGTGAGTGAGTGAATTAATGTCAGCAATGTTACATCTATACTACGAAGTGTATGAGTGAGTGAATGTCAGCATTGTTACATACATACCACGGAATGTATGAGTGAGTGAGTGAATTAATGTCAGCAATGTTACATCTACATCACGGAGTGTATGAGTGAGTGAGTGAATGTCAGCAATGTTACATCTATACCACGGAGTGTGTGAGTGAGTGAGTGAAAGTCAGCAATGTTGAATCTATATCACGGAGTGTATGAGTGAGTGAGTGAATATCAGCAATGTTATATCTATATCACGGAGTGTATGAGTGAGTGAATGTCAGCATTGTTACATCTATACCACGGAATGTATGAGTGAGTGAGTGAATTAATGTCAGCAATGTTACATCTATACTACGAAGTGTATGAGTGAGTGAATGTCAGCATTGTTACATCTATACCACGGAATGTATGAGTGAGTGAGTGAATTAATGTCAGCAATGTTACATCTATATCACGGAGTGTATGAGTGAGTGAGTGAATGTCAGCAATGTTACATCTATGCCACGGAGTGCATGAGTGAGTGAGTGAATGTCAGCAATGTTACATCTATACCACGGAGTGTATGTGTGAGTGAGTGAATATATGAGCAATGTTACATCCATATGTTCACGGCGACCTGTATTCTAGCTAGGAAATCCAGTGGCTGACGACATGAGCAACGATCAACGTCGTCGAGGTACGACAACACACCCAAATGACCCCAGTGCATTGTGCCTACGGTTATAAGTCGTGTGCCCCACTCCACAAAGACATCTTAGCACTAGGACCACGTACAGATTGGGACAGAGAGGTACAGGTTGTGCTGAGATCAGTTTGTGGGACGAAAAACTGCAACAATTTGTCGTAGCGATCGCACGTCTATGACCATTGTAAGCCATTGATGGAGTATTAACGGTACAATAGTCCAAGAGTTACGATCGCTTTGTGAAAGTGGGTCTAGGTCCATTCCTTAAACACAGAGTCCTACATTACAAAAGCTATAGCTGGGGACATCTATATCTTGCTCTAAGGGCGGTGGGGTAGCCTAGTAGTTAAAACGTTTGCTCGTCACGTCGAAGACGCGGGTTCGATTCCCACATGGGTACAATGTGTGAAGCCCATTTCTGGTGTCCCCCGCCGTGATATTGCTGGAATATTGCTAAAAGCGGCGTAAAACCATACTCATTCACTCACACTGGTGTCCCCCGCCGTGATATTGCTGGAATATTGCTAAAAGCGGCGTAAAACCAAACTCACTCACGATATCTTGATCTGTTCTTTTGGGAACATTCAACTTTGGAATAAAAAGGGTTTACCGTATACTACATACTACTTCTACCTTGAAACTGAAGAGTTTCTTACTTGAAAAGTCAATCATCCCATGGAACGGAACTGATGAAAGTCGAGCGAATTTTAAGACTGCAACCATTCCATTAGCGATCATATCCTGGGGTAACAATAATCCCAGAACACTGTGTCCAGTTGGGCTGACCGCCAGAAACAGAGCACTGACCACCGAGAACAGACAGAGTCGTGGAGCGGTCACGTTACACCACATCCAGCGAGTGAAGACAGCAATTGGCTCATCATTGGCTGCGGCATCTGGCGCGCCGAGCGACTGGTCCAAGCATTGATTTATTCCGGTGGCTGTCATGCCGTCGTCTCGGGCTATCTTACAAACTGCTTCAACCTTGGCCCTGAAGTGGTCAAGATTATACACGCCCGGGGCAGACATCGTGCATGCGGAGACGTCAGTGGTTCAAGACGGAAGATGCAGAATAACGCCAAGACGAACGTATGGCTTGTAAATGTTTTTGATCAGACAACAAAGGGTGGCATGGGAATCAATGCAGATTGATCATCTACACAATGGCAGAATGGGATGGGGCTGTTCTGCGCCTTGTCAGTCATCCACGACTGCGTCTGATAACATAGTACTGCCTGCAGCCGGACAGAAAACTGTCTGCATTGCGTAAAACAAAGCGGTTGTGCCAGCACGGGGTTGTCGTACACGTTGTGCGCTGAGGTGTGAGGAAGGGAATGGTTTCTGTATATACTCCATCAACTGCCATCTGCCCCTGGTGCTACGTGACCATCACCATGATGTCTCCCGCCAGCTGTTGCACCTCACTATTACGCGTTTGTCACGTTGGGTACAGGATGGGAGATGTTACATCGGGGTGAACCGGATACCAAGTGGCATATGTCTGTACAGTTTATCGCAATAGACATATGACGGACATACTCTTGCTCTGTGATTATAAATACTATTAAGGTCGTTTTGTAAACAACTTCTTGATACTCATCTCCTTAATTTATAGTAGGGTGTTGTCCAAAACATCACGATAGAAGTAAAGACAAACATGTACCCATGCATGCAAAATATATAATCTGAGCTGTGTTCTATTTAAAGAGCTGGGACATATAAAATACTAAAGGGAGACAACTGTGGGCTGCACCGAACGACGTGTCAATGGCATAACCTAGGAAAGAGCAGCATGTGCACGGACGTTGTACCTACAGAAGACACCTGCAGTGTATATCGTCTCCACGAAATGGTAAACCATTCGTCTATAGCTTAGCATTTCCATGTGCTGCCCTTATCCGTGACAGAACCCGATGACCGTGTGTTCGAATCCCTGGCGACTCTAGGTGTATCAGCACCATACCATGCTCGTGGGTTTCACAAACGTCGTAAACACCTCGAGTCCATCACTTCGGCTTTCCTCCAACAATAGAAGTTGACACGCACACGACGTCTAATCCAGCATCGTGGGGTTATCATACAACAGTGATTGGTTAGTCTACTCTACACTAACACTTTACTCCAGAAATAAAGTTATCTTATTTAAAAATATATATCTACAAAATAAGTAAACTCCAAACGGATCCCAGAACAGTGCTTAATTCCCAAGACCTGGGACAATCTAGACTTGCCAGGTCATTCTCGACATGAGTTGGATTTAATTTTAATATATTTACTTGTCTGCTCGAAAATGGTTAAATGAAATTGGGTTCAACATCGCGTCCAAGATTATTGCACTTATATAGCGACGTGTGTGTGTGTGTGTGTGTGTGTGTGTGTGTGTGTGTGTGTGTGTGTGTGTGTGTGTGTGTGCCAATCCAGACTGATGCCGATTTATAGTGCAAGCTTACTGAGATACCATGCTGCAGTTTAACATGAATACCTCACTCAGACACAGTATACTGACTCCGAGCCGACCAGTCCCTCTTTTAGCCCCTTAATACCGAGCGCCAGACAGGGTAACAACAAGTACCATCTTTTAACTTCTTTGGTTATGACGCGGCAGGGGATCGAACCCCGGACCTTCCGCTCTCTTGGCGGGCGCTCGACCACTAGACCACGGAGGCGGTCCAGCTCGAAAATAAGGGGGAAAGTACCGAGCGCCTTTTTAACGGGGACTAAGCTAGGATAGGCTGACACAGGAAGTTAGATTCAAGTCGCTTAAACACAATTTACTGTGAACTGTGTACGTAGAATTTACGACATGTAGTATAACACCAATCCAACAGGAAATGGTAACAGTTAATTTCTCAACGGCGTGGCCTAATCACAGCGTCTGGAAGTTGACTATAAATGGTCAACAGAATTACCCTCGTTATAACGTGGCTCCACGGACTACTTATCCTCTATAGGGGGCACGGGTGGCCCAGTCGTCGAAGGCGCCGCGATTCGCTGTGCAGACTTGCGTTCCTTTTTTTTTTTTTCTTTTTTTTTTTGCGTCCCTTGGTCACACCAGAAACATGATTGTGGGTTCGCCCGGATTATGTTTCTAGGTTTGTCAGCACCTTACTCGTGCTGGTGGGTTTTACTGAAGTGGTAAACGTCTGAGACCTGCATCACTTCGGGTATATAACTTCACTTCGGGACACGCCGTGATATAACTAGATATAATACTGTTAAAAGCGGCGTTAAACCCAACTCACTCACTAACTCACTTACCCTCTACATTCAGCATACGGTGAAGCGGTACAGCCATGAGTCGGGAGTAAAAATTCAAGGTGTATTCAATATGTCTCACACACTCGCCTGAGGAAAAAAACACAACAGTAAACTCATCACACTTATCTAAATGCGAAAAAGCATACCTTAATTTATTATACTTGATTTATGTGTAAACTTTCGTTAATAAACTCATTCTACCGTTGATCTATGCAACATTAGACATTATAATTCTTTATAATCTATGTGAATTAAATATGAATTAATATGAATTGGATCCGTCGACCAGCGTCTCTTATAAAAGTATATGAGTTTGAACATATATACACTATAGTTTGATTGATTGTTTGTTGTTTAACGCCGCATTCCAGCTATATGACGGCGGTCTGTAAATAATCGAGTCTGACCAGACAATCCAGTGATTGACATCATGAACATCGATCCACGCAATTGGGATACGATGATATGCATCAACCAAGTCAGCGAGCCTGACCACCCGATCCCGTTAGTCGCCTCTTACGACAAGCACAGTCGCCTTTTAAGGCAAGTATGGGTTGGTGAAGACCTATTCTACACCGGATCTTCACAGGTCATATACACTATAAGTATAACGTTATCATAACATTATATCGATGAATAATAATCATCGAAAATAAGGCATCTTGAACGATTAGTTATGGATAATATCCCTGACCATCAATTCTGAAAGATATGACAACTTTAGCTTGTAATTATAGTACTAATACTGTTACCATGCCTCACGGAAATGTAGTATACCGTAAGGATGATTTGCCATGCATATATCTTTGAAACGCATATGCTTAAAACTGTTAAAATATTTAAGAAACTAATAATTTTACCTACCGATATAAGAATCGTCCCCCACCGCTTGGAGTACATTGAAGCCGAAAAAAACTAAAAACACGACGCCGACAGCAACACGTGTTCTTGTGCTCGTCTTTCGCTGGAGCTGCTTGAACCATATTGTCAGATTCTCCCAGGAAATGTCTTTGAGAGACAATGGAGAATACTGACCTGGAATGGTCGCGCACATCGCCTTGTCTGCACATCGCTCAATCGTTTCTTCACTAAAACCCCAGTCTGTACCCAACCGTCGAATATCGTGTACATTTTCTGTGAGAAACAAGAGGCGGTCTGTGGCGCTTGTTTCCATGCTGCGAGTCCCAACGTGAAGTGATGATTGCCGTGTGTCCAAGAGAACCAACACCTGCTCTGATGGGTGCAACGGCTGCGCTTCACACCTGTGTCGTGACAGATTATCTCCCTTGTCACTGTAGGGTGTTTTAAACTAAAGTGTATGATTTCAGAAACACTCAGTTTAAAGTTGCCTGAAAATAGGTATTATGTTGGTGATGTTGGTATTTCACGTTGTATATATTGCATCAAGCTAAAGCTTATATCTTTTAGTCCTTCGTCAGTGCGATTTTGATGCAAAGACTGAACCGGATACGATGTGATCTGAACGTTTGAGTAATTATGGAGGAAAATGGTCGAGTGCGAGTAGGGTTTTGCATCGCTTCCAGCGGTATTCCAGTAATATCTCGGCGGTGGGCACGACTTCACACAGTGTACAGTGTTGGGGATCGAACATGGTCTTCGACGACACGAACGACCGCTTTAACAACGTAGAAGACCGCGGCTATAGAACAGGACCCCAGCAACCTGTGCGGGTCATAATGAGATTTAATGGATCGGTGGTCAGGCTCAGTGTCATTTTACACCTGCAGCGTAGCCCAGACTCCATTATTTTTCAGGCTGCAGCGATATAAACTGAGGGACCAAAGAATGTCCTCCTCCTCTCTCTCTCTCTCTCTCTCTCTCTCTCTCTCTCTCTCTCTCTCTCTCTCTCTCTCCTCTTAACAGCAAAGGGGGCACGGGTGGCCCAGTCGTCGAAGGCGCCGCAATTCGCTGTGCAGAGTTGCGTCCCTTGGGTACGCCAGAAACCTATGATTGTGGGTTCGAATCCCAGTTCGCCCCGATTATGTTTCTAGGTTTGTCAGCACCATACCCGTGCTCGTGGGTTTCACCGACGTGGTAAACGTCTAATGGCTGCATCACTTGGGGCTTTCCCCCCACATTAAGTAGACACGCCGTGATATGACTGGAATACTGTTAAAAGCGGTGTTAAACCCAACTCACTCACTCACTCTTAGCAGCGACAGAAACTAACGGATTTAGTCCAATAGTCCTTATAATGATAACATTATAGACCAACCCTTAAAAATGGCACATTTCTACTTGGCCTTATGATACCTTTACCATTGGGCAGTTTGGTAAGGACTACCGGACTAGCGCCAATTTCTAACGCCGATTAGTAAATAGCTTCATGAATCTCGTTTAGTATTCTATATTCCGACACAATCTCTCTTCATATCAGATTGGTCCCGCGACTAACGGGATCTGGTGGTCAGGCTCGCTGACTTGGTTGAAGCATGTCATCAATCCCAATTGCGTGGGTCGATGCTCATGATATCAATCACTGGATTGTCTGGGTCCAGACTCGATTATTTACAGACCGCCGTCATATAGCTGGAATATTGCTGAGTGTGGCGTAAAACAACAAACCAACCAACCAATCTGATATGAAGAGAGAATCTTTCGAGAAGCTCACATTGTGTACATGACGTCATTCTGATAGTGCGTGACGTCACTGAATATTACAACTAACGGGATCGGGTGGGCAGGCTCGCTGACTTTGTTAATACATGTCATCGTATCCCGATTGCATAGATCGATACTCATGTTTTCAATCACTGGATTGTCTTGTCCAGACTCGATTATTTACAGCCAGCCGTCGTATAGCTGTAATATTGCCGCCTGCGGCATTAAACAAACAAAGAAACAAACATTGCTACAGTGGATTTTTCTTCGCTTGTTTGGTTGCTTTGAAAATGATTTAAAACAAAAATGACAGAATTTTTCTTTATCAGTACAGTGAGTGAGTGAGTATAGTTATACGCAGCTTTTAGCAATATTCCAGCAATATCACGGCGGGGGACACCAGAAATAGGCTTCACACATTGTACCCATGTCGGGAATCGATCCCGGGTCTTCGGCGTGACGAACGAACGCTTAAATCACTAGGCTACCCGACCCCCCCCCCCCCCCCCCCTTATCAGTCCAGAATAAGTTGCTTATCCCTCCTTACTCAATTACTTAATTAATTGCGATGAGTTGCCCCAGTGTGGACACCGTTCAGTGTGACGTAGGCTGTCGGTGGCCATATAGTGGGAGTTTACCATCGAATCATCGATGCCATGACGCAGTAAATGACAATTGTACATAGTTACAGAAGATATATTTGAAATATGCAGTCGGTGATGGAGAAAGAAATCTCACACTTTCACTTAGTGCTGTGTTACTTTGGAATATCGGTATATTTAATTTAATCAATCCCAGGTTAGACGATAAAACAGACAAGTCTAGATAATCACGGTCTTAGGGACCGACCATTTCATGGTCATATTCTGGGGTGGGGTGGAGTTTGGGGGTGTGCCTTTCCCTGAAAATTCTTGATGAAAAACCCCTCAGACAAATAAATAAATTGCCGGCAACAAAAATTACATTGTCGTAAAGCTAGGTGTTTTTCTCAAAAATAACATTTGAATAAGAAACATATCTGGTTTTGAAGCTGAAGCAGAGAAAGTATCTTATCTCGATACAAAATCCCAGCCACCCTACCCCAGAATATCAAATGGTCGGCCGCTTAGCCTGCATGATTCTCTCCCAGTCATTGTCTCTTGGTGTCTTTACGTATAGAATTAATAGTATTATAGAAAAATAAATCTTCCATAAGTGGATATTACGTTTCAAATGAAATGAACTCTTTTTTTTCAGACTTCTATGCAACAACCTATGTTGACTCACTATTGTTTTTTTTCCACTGAACTGACTTTCGTCCTGCCAGGAACCGCGAGAAGTTCCCTCTCTATAACGCTGTGTGCTAGACATTGCAAGTGAATACTAGACGATAAAATGAGAATGGTCACAGAAGGAGAAACAATTATATATTGGCTTCTGTGTAGTATGAATTACAATTAAATTACTTTCTGGAAAAAACATGTATATTGATTTCAGAAATACAGAAAAGAAACAATTTTTCTAAAACGTGAATGTTATCAGTTATCACTACGCTGGTAGTAATAAACAAACATGGCGGACGTATGATGAAAAGACGATCGCTCAATGAATAGAATGAAATAGACGAAGCACATGGCAGTAGGATGAAGGTAAGAACGTGACCTATTGTGCACATGTCAGTATTGCAACAATTAAACCCACCAGATTCATTTATGGTAGTATTATTGGAGTAAGGGATGGGAATAAGTGGAGAATATGAAGATACAAGACGCACCGAACGGAAAAGGGACGGGATGGGTTTCTTCGACAGGGCTCGCCTCACGCTGTCAATTTTTACACATTTTGGGGCAAAGTTTTAAGCCTTCGATAGGACAAATTCAATCATCTAATTTGCTTTAATATCTTAACAGAATGTAATGTAAGTGTCAAAGTGTCATGGCTCGGCAAGCCCCGAATGCTGGGTCATCCGATTTGGCATGGCCCGTCAGCTCGCGAAGCCAGCGGGCGAACCAGCGTTCTCCAATTATCGTCGACCGCCCGATAAACGGAACACGATCTCTCTCCCAGCGCTGTCGGCGTTCACCAGCTCGCGCTGAGCAGGGAATGCACGCAGCCGTGACCCACACAAACCTGCACATGGGCGTGAAAACTGGGACAGTAAAAAAGGCCCCGGCATGTTATTTATTATGGTTATGAGGTATATTCGTTGTATGTGTGCATGAAGATTTGATGTTTTACCAACCCCCGTCAGGAAGGCATCAGACCTTCCCGGAAGTTGATTGATTGAATACCAGGAACATGACATCCTATGGCTATTTATAGAATTTTCCGTCCATGCTTCTTATCTTGTTACTGGCGCTCAGCAAGATCCTGGCAGTGTTGAGAAATTGTTTACAAATTTTGTGTAGTTTTTCTGTCGGTCTAATCCTGTGTTCAGGGCTTGGACTTTGATGTAGAGGTTTTGCTGGTAAAGTTCCTGGTTTTCACTTAATTAGGATTTTAAACTAATAATGTTGAAACTCTGATTTTTTATTAACCTTTTGTAACCTCGTTGAACGTAGGCATTTTTTTTATATTCATGGTAATTATAATTGCGGGAGCATGATTTTTCACCGCTATAATCATAATATAGTGATAATGTTTTGTAAAGTGGTATTATCATATCTTGTTAGCTAGGCTACTGTTAACAGTGAAATACATCTTCAAAGTAAAGAAATCAGTATTGCGAGTCAAAATGTTGTGAAAAAATTCTGTGATTGTTTTTTCATCACAAATATGTATAAAATCGTATATTTATTGTAAGGATTTTATGATGGTATTGAGTTTACATATTCACGTGATGTCAATCAATGGATTTGTGAGGTCCAGACTCGATTATTAACAGACAGTCGTAAAATAGCTGGAATATTGCAGAGTGTTGCGTTAAACATCAAACAAACAAAAATAATACACATATTCACCAAAAAAAATATGTAGGCCCCACTAAGACTTGATTTACTTACTCACTGTAGGGATTTCAGGCTAGAATACTATAAGTCATGAAATTAATGCAAAACTGCAAATGTCCCTCGCTCGCTAAAGTGATGGATGTTCGTCTGGACATATTGGCGAATATTGTCATGCCTCGTTCACTGTACATGGGCGGAAACAATGACATACATAACAAAAATGTCAATACGCAATATAATTGTGCACTAGATTTAGACAGTGTCTTGACATCAAGTTCCACATGAAGTATGGTCATTTTGTTTACACAAGTTGTTCAAGCGGTTGTGGCGGTCACCAGCCGTGTATTATGGCACCATTGTTCTTGATAACTTTGTCAAAAAGTCTCATAAAAATTACGAGCAAAATAATGCTTATCCACAAAGTGAAAATGTCTAGTAGAGCGACAGCAGTCTTGAATCAATAACACTACTCATTTAATTTCAAAGGATTGCTCTATCTCATTTAACAACACTTGTAAACTGTACAGTCTTCGTCAGTGAACCGATCTATCTTGTATGAATGGGCGTTAGTTGGAATTTCCTGCTTTTTATTTCATTGACGTTAGTTCACATGTCAAGCAGTTGAAAATTGCAAATGATATTTATCAATGGAACTGCTATCACTCCATACTATATCATGGAATTCTAAGTCTTCAGTCTTGGTGTTCAAAAGAAATGCTACTTGCATTCATGATCCATTTTTTGCAAGTGGTTGACACTCGCATTAATTTGGTGAAGCATGAATTTCATGATTTACGATATGGGTCCCCAGCAACTGTTGCTTGTATGAGGCGATGAGGGTGGTCAGGCATGTTGACTTGGTTTGCTTGTTTGTTGTTTAACACCGCGTTCAGCAATATTCCGACTATATGATGGCGGTCTGTGAATAATCAAGTCAGGACCAGACAATCCAGTGATTGACATCATGAGCATCGGTCCATGCAATTAGGATCAATGACATGCATCAACCAAGTCAGCGAGCCTGACCACCCGATCACTCACGGTGTTAAATCACTGTATTGTCTGGTCCAGACTTGATTATTTACAGGCAAATGTCATCAAGCAGGAAAGTTGCTGATAGGAGTGTAACAATATATCAGACTGTCAAACTGTGACTATTGTTTGCCTTCGATAGTACTATATCAATAGGAATATAAAAATACCAATAGTATCATTTATAGTATACAAAACAATTGATAGTTTCCAAAATTCATCATTTGATACACAAATTTTGAACTGAAGAATTTTCGACACTGATTGGCTGTGTCTTCCATTTTGGTGCCTCTGGCAGGCCTAGGAATTGATGCAACATCCTGTGAATATGATCTGTCAGTCACTGTATTGCCATGGTGATCACAACAAAGCCCAACACACCATTGTTGATATGCCATATGCATCCTATGCACTGCTGCACCTTTTTCTAAATGCTAGTGTTCGCGTTAACGCAGAAACCTGCGTTTTTCACGCATTAAAATCATATAAACACGCAAAAAAAATATTTGGCATGCATGTTTTGCACGCACAGATTGTGATATACTTCATTTTGTATTAATACCATAAAATAAAAAACTATTCAAAGCTGATAGCCTGCTTACGATGTTCAGACGAAAATAAATCAAAACCTGGAAATTCCCATTGCTAAAAATAGAGTGGAGCCAGATGGCGCTTTGAATCGCGTCCTTTAATATTTCCATATATGGTCTTTGGGCAACGGAATAACTAATCTCAGACACAGGACGTCATTCGTTACTATCGATGAAATTCCCCGGAAGTCGTTTGTTTCATCCAATCAGAGCCTAGCTTACAAGTAATAGTCTGTAATGCGAACGATCATAAACAGACCGACGGAACAAAACTTCCACACATGGGCATGTGCTAAAAACAGTCATATTTATTTTATTAATGATTGAACGTTCATTATATCAAAACTGGACCGTAAGTTAAAGCCTGGTCATAATTATTAGCTGTACTAATACTGATTTTATTGAAATAAAAACTTCACACGCGAAATATTTGAATTGAAAATTTATTATTTCATTTCTGCACGCACTGTACAAAAACCTACCGTGATCACTGTAAATGCTAGCATTGGCTTCAGTATTATTTCGTACTGTCGCAAATAAGACGCTCAGCTGTAATAGTAGATTATCATGTCAGCTAATATAAGTTTTAATTTTTTTTTATTCATATATTTTACATATACGGTTTTAAAAGTCAACATGACCATCAGTGTGCATTTTTTTGTACATAAATGGACAGGGTGTCGACTGTTCTGAAGCTTCGATTGTAAACAGAAGCCGATAACTCTCAAACTTACTTGACTCTGCTTGCCTTATTCCGTTTCTGCTCCAGTGACCATATCGCGGATGTAGACTGCTGTTTGTTGACAAACACACTTTTCTGAAATAAGAGCAGATGGGCCTAATGCAAGCCTTTCGATGCACGTTAAATTTTGTTTTTGCATAAGTATATAACTATATACTACAACGGCAACAGTGAGGTGCATGACAATAAATCTTTACACATCAAAGTGGACGTATGGCTAGTTCCCATGGAGCTTCCGTGACAAGAAGGTGAGGATAAATACACAAAATGGGAATAGTTTTTCACATAGTAGGATATTTTTTCAATGAAAGTTAAACATTTCATGACGTATGTTATCTAGTTTTTTATGTGTAGACTCATCCAAAATGAAACTGACGAAAAACACATGAATGGACTGTGTAAGATGTGGCGATGTGACAGGTACTCGGCTGGCTGTAAGGAACTCTGGGTTGGCGAGAGGCATATTTATATTGTAATCTAGGCTTTGATAATCTCTGGCTTCTAATCTAAACAAGCTGGCAAATAGTATTTTGTGACTCAGCCATTAGAAGAACACACAGGCTTTCTTTTCATTCTTTTTCTGTATTAAAAACACTGACGCCGGGTTACTCTGCGCAATGCGTACGTTGTCGGCTTCACTGTGCCGAGCTGTATTGTTTTGGTTTGAGAACTGAATCAGGCATGTGCATGATTTAAAAACACACAGAACCATTGACGTCCTGTCCCGTTAACTGACCAAGACGAAAACAGCCTGTCTTGGACATCTTCCATTGACAGGGAGTTAACTGAAACTAAAGGCCAAGTTTCCACCCACACATAACATAGGGTGATATTGTTAAAAATGGTGTACCCATAATCAGAAGTTTTGTTTGTTGTTAATGCCACACTCAGCAGTTGTCCTGCTTTATGACGTCTGTCTGTAAATAATCTAGTCTGAACCAAACAATCCAGCGATTAACCATCTTCCACAGGCAGGGAGTTAACTGAATATAAAAGTCTAGTTCCCACCCTTGTCACACTAGGCTGGAATTTCATGGTTCGATCATTGCACCACCAGTGGACCTTTGAATTATGTTCCTTCTATGTCACTCCTTTTGACCAATCAGGTTTGGCATTTCTTATCAGTTGATTTTGTTTCAAACAAAATGGTGAAGCCAAGTCTTGATGATCTGATCGATAATCAAGATGTAAACTCACCGACAAAAGAAACGCGAAAACCATACATGTTGGTTTATATATGAAATTTACTCATATTCAAGAGATATCAGATTGATTTGATGCACAGTCAAACATACTGTTATGTTGCGTGAACCAATGCTCATGACACAAAATGCACC